AATCGAACCTGGAACCTTTCAGTCCACAGATGATGCTCTACCACTGAGCCAAACCTGCTTTGGCAGGAGGCAGAACTTTTGATGCTGACTGGCATTAAAACCGACCAATCAGAACCAAATCTGGGTGCTATGGGGAGCCAATGGCTGCCTAGGAGGTGAAGCTTTTGACACTGACTGGCATATAAACTGACCGATAAGAACCAAATTGACCAGCAGAGGAGGGAGGTTGGGGTGAGATCATGCCTGCAGGAGAGGGCAGTTGTGAGTGAGATCAGGCCAGCAGGAGAGGGAAGTTGGGGAAAAACAGGCCAGTAAGGGAGAACAGTTAGGGGTGATCAGGCAGGCAGGTGAGAAGTTAGGAGCCAGTGGTCCCAAATTGCTAGAAGGATGTCCAGCTGCTGGTTTAGGCCCGATTCCTGTGGGTCCCCAATTGAAGAGGGTGCAGGCTGGGCTGAGGGGAACCCCCCCCCCATCCATGCATTATTTTAATTAATATATTTTATTGATTTTTTTACTGAGAGGAAGGGAGAGGGATAGAGAGTTAGAAATATTGATGAAAGAGAATCATTGATCAGCTGCCTCTTGCACACTCCCTATTGGGGATGTGCCTGCAACCAATGTACATGCCCTTGACCAGAATCGAACCCAAGACCTTTCACTCCGCAGGCTGTTGCTCTATTTACTGAGCCAAACCAGTTTCGTCCATGCACAAATTTTGTGCACTGGGCCTCTAGTAGATAATATAAGAATAAATTGTTGTCAGTCCTTCTAGAGGGGCAAGACAAGTCCAGCTTTTAGGGGCAGCTGCCATACCCAGGTCTGAGGGCCTTCATGCAATGGAATAAAAAGCATGATTGCATGATGCCCAGTATACATACTCAGAGAGAACCCAGCAGAAATCCCACTGAGGGTGCCTACGGATTATATTTTGTATAAGTCTTCTTTACATGTCTCTTTGATTTGACCCAAAATAAACTTATGAAACCTAATGTGAATGCCCAAACCATATTATTGTAATTGTTATTTTTTGTGCATTTCAGATTAAGTTAACATTCAACAATTTAGCTCACAGGAAAAAGATAAAACTGCAAGTAAATGCTTGGCCAATAACATCTTTTTGGAAACACGCAGGGTCATATATTAAAACAAAGAACCTTTTAACAATTCCATAATAGAATGTGCTTACTTTTTGCAGGGAATGGATAAAGAAAAAAGGCTAGTACCTCTATTAGTTGTGTCCACTGCAGGGGCCAGCACAGATTAGGTTCCCAAAAGGTTTTAATCTTCCACTAAATAGCCTGCTCTTCCACTGGGTGCTGTCCTTCCTTACTGTCCACAGGGCTTGGCCCTAGACCAGAGGTCGGCAAACTGTGGCTCGCGAGCCACATGCCACTTGTGAGCCACGGTTTGCCGCTCAGTTGACTAATGAGTTTGCCAATCACTGACCTAGACTCTTGATTCCAATGAGTACAGGCTGATGTTGTTCCTTGTGATTAAGCCCCTATCCCAATGGTTGGCAAACTCATTGCTCAACAGAGCAGCAAACTGCGGCTCATGAGCTGCATATGGCTCACGAGCCATAGTTTGCCAACCACTGCCCTAAACCAATGACATCAAGCAATCTCCACCCCAAATCACATTGCGGACCATAACAAAATTGCTCAGGTTCTCTAGAAAACAATGGCTTTCAGATTGAGTTGCCACATAGAAATTTGCTCTCAATAACGACTGACAGGTGACAGGCTGATGAACATGCACCAGGGAGAAGCCCAGAGGGGTGTAAGAAATCAGTCCCACTGATGTCAGGTCCCACTGTGGTGCTTAGTGATGTGTCAGATAGCAGTGTAAACTTAGCTGTAGGAGTATAGATGCACTTGCTGATCCCCATCTCGCAAAGGCTGGGCAAACCCCCTTGGGCCCAGCACATAGCTGGTAGACGGTTTTCATCTGATTCAGGCTGTTTTGCTGATTTCCAGGAAAACACAAGTGGGTGATGATAATCAGAAGACACTCTAGCATTGGTCTGGTCACTTCCAGCAAGCATGTCTCCATACCCATCTATCTCATAAGGGGCTGAAGCAAGATGATCTCTGACGCCCAACTTGGAAAGGTCCATCTATTTTCCACAGTGCATCCCAATGCACCACACAATCAGAAAACCTGTTGCCTGCAGCAGGTGGGCAGATTTCAGGATGCGATTCTTCTGTCCTAGGTATACTCAAGCCTGGCAGTATCACTGCTCATCTTATCAGGATATGAGTGATGGCTTTCCTCAGAACCCACTCAGGGCCTCATTACTTTTCTTAAGCTGATTCTACAGCTGGTGACCTAACCCAGCTTTAACTCTTGGCTTCCAAGGTCAACAGCTCTGCAAGTGCTCAGTGCACAGGTCCAGCCCTGGAACTCCCCTCACTCTCTCATGACCACTTTCTCAGCCACACCACCAGTCACCTCTTGGGAGAAAAACATTGTCAGTTCTCCACAACTGCTCCAATTTCTTTAAAAGGAATAGTATTTTCCAAGTGAATTTGTTAACTAGAACTCAGTTCATATTAGCTATTTACATTTTTTTAAAAATCATCAAAAGTTGTATACCTTGACCCAGATCCAGGTTTTGTTGGGCCTGATCAGGGATAATATGAAAGTGGGCACAGGGTCTTGGAGGGGGGCCCTGCAAGTGAGGACCCAAAGCTGAAGCTCTATTACCTTAACCACCTCACCCTTATTTAGAGACTTGAGTCCCAGTGGGAGCATTATGCTTGCTTTGCAGTGACGTTATCTATCATTTATAAGAAGCATAGCATGGGAAAGAAAATGAGTGATGAAGTCAGAAAGATCTGGGTTCAAATACCAGCTGTTTCTTTTCTGTTCTGCTCTCCCGTCTGAATAAAAACAGAGGTAACAACACATCTTTCACATGTGTGTTGTGAAAATTACAGGTCTAGCATGTTATATGACATGTGTGAAAGTATACTACTAATAGATGCCTGGTACACAAAATTCATGCATGGGGAGGAGGGTGTCCTTCAGCCTGGCCTGCACCCTCTCCAATCTGGGATCCCTCTCGCAATCCAGAACCAATGTCTCCTAACTGCTCCCCTGCCAGCCTGATGGCCCTAACTGTTCTCTCCTCCTGGCCTGATTCCCCAAACTGCCTAACTGCTCTCCCCTGCCACCCAATCCCCCTAACTGCTTTCCCCTCCTTGTCTAATCCCCCCTAATTGCCTATCTGCTCTTCCCTCCTGGCCTGATCCCCCTAACTGCCCATCTGCTCTCCCTTCCTCTCTGTGCCTTCAGACCCTGATGCAGGAGTGCTAAGACTTACCCACCAAGGCCCCGCCATGGCCTGCCCTGACACCCCCCTCCAGGCTGGGTGGCAGGTGGGCCTGTGCACACCTCCATAGGTGGGGGAGGGCATATCTGGTGGCAGCCTCATGTCCCAGTGGTGCAGGTCCGCACCCCTGCCCCTGTCTGCCAGCTCCTGTGCACACACAGCCTGTTGAACAGTCATGACTGGGACACCATTAGGACCAATTAGCATATTACCTTTTTATGTATATGGATTCACTCAGTAAATGATGGACCCAATCAATCGTTTCCATTAGGATTTGGTGTATATGACTGAAATCTACCTTGTACAAAGGCAATTTAGTTATTAACTTGGCAAACACTAATAGGCACAGATCATGCAAGTATATATTCACAGTAGTATAAATGTAGAAAAACAAGATCCAAAATAGAACCAGACTTAGCCTAAAGTAGTGGCTTACAATTTTTTTACCTCAATGTACCGAAGGGACACAACCTAATCCAGATTTACAGCAACCTGATACAGTGGCAATAAAAGAGGAGAGGACATACAATTTGCAAAGCTTTCAAGTGTGTTTTGCCTCCTAATGATACATGTTCTCCTCAAATCTATATCCCAACCCCTGGAACTCCCCCCTTCAGTCCCAGGTTAGAATCACACATTTCACAATAATAAAGGCAAAATACTGAATTTATTCAGTTGATTTGACCAATCATACTGGATAAAAGTGTTGGTTTCATTTGCATGATGTAAAAACATACTTTAAGTAGATATAGTCACATATTTTACAATATTAAAAATGTATATATGAAAGACTCATGAAGGCATTTGATATAAAACATACATAGTATGCTATTTTATATACAAATGCTTAAAAGAAAATAGAATCATAAGAGTTACAAAAGTAGCATCAGTAAGAATTGACAAGTTTTCATAAGGTCACATTCTCATCCGTTGGGATGTACAGAAATTATGTGGTTTACACAGTTTTATCCACATTCAAAACATCATGTTTTAAATGTTTTAAGCATAGCATGTACAGTACAAAATGTTTCCATAGGAACATAACAGAACCCAGCACTAGTGGCCTGTTGTCAGATGGCTCCTCACTAATCAGTTAGCCATTTGCAAGACACTAGTTCAGCTTATTGCTATAATATTCAAGTTGCTCTATTCACCCAAATACAATGACTTTAATTTAAACTAGTATCTACTGACAAAAGCCCAAAGAGTTGGTGTATAATATACACTAATATATACAAAATTTAACAACTATTTAACAAGTATTTACATTTAACAACTACTCTGAGTTAAATGAAGTTCCCAGACTTAATTTAGAATCGAGAATAGTAATTTTAGGCTAATATATTATTTTTGTAATTGGTATTTTTAAAATTTTAAGCAAAGTGCACAGTTTATGAAATCAGTCACCAGAAATGATCCGTCTAGGAACACTTAATTCCTCCCCTTGAGTCACCCCACCTGAGAAATGAGAACTGTCAGAGCTGGCAGACAGGGCATCTCCACAAATAAAACACCCAGGAGCCGTGTGGAGTCACATTCATCAGTCGTGGGAGCCCACAATGCCAGCTAATAAATGGCACAGCTCACTAGACGAGTCCCTGTGTGGAATCAGCAGAACTAGCTTCCAGGAGCTTAACGCTGAATATTAATTTAGAGCAAACGACAATCAGCCATACTCTAACGTTGGTGGGCCCCGGACAAGGTTGAAATAGCCGGCCAGGGCTCCAAGGTCTATGTAGAGAGAACGTTGTCTCTTTAGCATCTCTGATTCTTCAGTGCTTCCTGTGCATGAAGAATCTGAAAAGGGAAACATTGAAAAACTAAAATAAATGACCAGGAAACATGTTCAATAATACATAATTGTTCCTTCTACAAAAAAAAAAAAAAAAAAAAGTAACAGGTTGGGCCAAATGAAATAGCAGTTAAGCCCTGGTTTTATTAAAGAGCTATAGAGTTGAACACCATGGGCTAATTTGTATCAGATTTCATACACAAAAGAGTTTTAAAAAAGAGTTAATACAGCAAGAAATTAACTAGAATTCCTGGCATGTTTTCCAACATCTTAGATGATACATTTTAAATATGGAAAAAGTCAGACAAGAAGCTTAAAGGCAAACAAGCATTCCAGGCTTGACATCTGGATTTGGATCTAATCATAGTAAAAATGATACAGATTTTAATAACAAAAATAGAAATCCTGCTCCACCCACATTCAATGCTCCTGTAACATGTATGGATTTCCCTAAGTGGGAAAGATTCATAGCTGACAAAGAGATTTTAAGCACTAAGCACAGGAAGAGAGAAAGGCAAATTGACTTCACACTCAGTATTTTATGTGGGCAGAGCAGTGCCATGATGTTAAGCAAGGACTGGTGTGGCTTACCATAACTCAACTTAACAGAACCCCAGTCTTTACCAGCTGCAAAACTATCATACCTGATTTGTTTTTAAAGGCATATGATATTCTCTGTTGCCAAAAAAGCATGTTAGAGGCACTTCTCAATGACTGTGTTGCCAACTTTTGCACTAAAAACCTGTTATAGCTTGCTCGTAAATTAGCCATTTTTTTTAGATGCTTTTGCTAACATTCTTCCTGAAATTTCTCAAACAATTCATGGCACTCAATAAATCATTTTTTTTCAAGTGCTTTCATCAGTTCATTCAGTGGTGTGATGTAGACAAAAAGAAGGGAAGCCAGAGGTAGTGCACACAACAGGGTGTCTATACCTGCAATGTTCTCAGGAAGTTCCAACTCCTTCCTGCTCAGCAGCCTTTTCCGCTCAAAGAGGGCAGAATCCAGGCTCTGACAGCGTGGCTGGTCCTCTCTGGGAGGGTTCAGGGCCTCGTGTTTTAGTAGGTCGGCTGCCCTCGGGCGGTGATTGGGGTTCCTCTCCAGGGCAGCTTCTATCAGCTCCCTCATGCCGGGACTGCAGTCATCAGCAATATCCTCTAATGGAGGGGCCTGTTTGTGGATCTGTCAACAAACCAGCCATCTTAGCATCAATATATGAAAACATACTCTCAATAGGAAAAGTATTCTAGTAACATAACCTGGGAAGTCACTGGTTTCCTACCTGCAGCAAATACAATTCATACCCTAACACAAGTTACCCTTTAATTTCCTAAGGACACTGAATTAAACCCATCTTTTGGTTCAGTGCAAAGATACAAGCTGGGTTTGAATAAACAGTGGCAGCTTTAAACCCTGAGTGGCCAGATTATTATGATCTCTGAATGCATAATAATCTGGCCATTCAGTGTATATCCTATTATATATAGACAGTGTATATCCTATATTCATTCAGTGAATGAATTCATGCATGGGTGGGTCTAGCAAGCCAGGCCAGGGGGAGGGGTCATGGGTGGTTGGCCAGCCTGCCTGCTGCTGGTCGAACTCCTGATTGAGGGGACAATTTGCATATTAGCCTTTTATATATATAGTCACCCCGTGCACAAATTCGTGTGCCAGTAGCTCTCTGCTGCCCTCCAGTAGCTCTCCACCCACTTCCCCACCCTCCAGTAGCTCCCCCATTCCCCCTGTTCCCCCTCATAGCTGCTGCCCTGCCCCCTCCTGTAGCTCTCGCCACCAGCTTGTAGCTCACTGCCCCACCCTCCTGCTGATCTGTGATCCAGTAGTTACAAGGTCAGTCTTTACACTTCACAGAGTAACAACCATTTGCATATTACATCTTTATTATATAGGATGCCTAACAGAATAGCATATATTGAATGCCCAATGTACATTTTAGTGAGTTCCCACTAAAATAGCAATGCCTTCTTTGTGAGAATGGGGCTTTCGCATTGGGTCATAGCTCACTCCCAACACTCAGAAAGGAGTGCAGCACTCCTGAACAGGTGGAAACCAGCCCAGTGTAGCCCTCATTGACCCCCCACTTACTATATACAGGTAGGAGGGATAAGCTGAGCGAGGGTAGCGCTTCACCCAGGGTGGAGTGCCTGTCTGCATGTGGATAAGCGTGGCCCCCAAGCTATAGATGTCGGCTTTGGTTGAATGGCCCCTGCAGAGGATCACCTCTGGGCTCATGTAAATCTGAAAGAAAGAAAAAAAAGCAGAAAAAATCAGTCTCACACCCCTCGCTCATCTGGATTTCCATTTTCCTAATCCAGTTCTGGAAGCTGGCTCTTCCACTGCTACCATATCTACTGCACGCTTCATCCCTTCATGAGAGCGCCATTGCCATGTCCCATGAGCTCAGGAGAGTAACAGCCACCTGCGGCCTGGTTCATCGAAGTTCTGAAAGGCACTGATGCATGTTTCTGCTAAAACAACTGTTCCTTTCATATTTAAATGAACACTACAAATATTCTTCTACACCTCATGTTTGTCACTAAGTTGCAGTAATAAAATTTAAATAATAAAAGTCGGCAAAGTCCACATGATATTAACACTGATCACCTGAAAGAGAAGAACTTTTTAAAAGTGCAGTGTTTTAAATGTGATCCTAACTAGTCATTTCTATGAGCTACTTATTATTTCTACCTCCCACGGAGCTCAGTGACAAACACTCAAGGCCTTGCTAACACTGTGAAAGTTCAATGTGGTTTCATGAGTTGCTGCTGGGAAAGTAGGACTAGGTTTATAAATAGCTCCTCTAAGAATTGTTTGTTTCTTTACCTGAAAAAGAGAAAACAAGAGCAAATACTGGTGTCCAATGATCTGGATTTGTGGCTGGTCCAGGCATATCCTAGTTAATAAGATTTAACTCTTAAAGAATTTTTATAGTGTCCGTTATTTGAATATTGAGGAGGGGGGAAGTGTTCCCAGAATACATTTCAGAATAAAAAAGAAAAGAACTGGCTTTTAAAAAAAAAAAAAAAAAAAAAAAAAAAAAAAAAAACACCAGAAGAAATTGACCAGTTTCCTCATCCAAATGCTGCTCAACTTCTTACTACAACACATTTCTGGGCTGGTTTGCTTTTCAACTATCATCTATCTATCTATCTATCTATCATCTGTCTCTCGATCCTTCCTGCCTTCCCTCCCTCTTTCCCTTTCAGCAAACTGGCCAACCAAACTCCTGTTCTCAAACTTCCCCTGAAGCAAAAACAGATCCTAAAAGACTTTCTTACTAAATATAATCACAAAGTTATACAATAAATGCAGTGGGGAGAATTAACTGTCAGTAGGAGATGCCCACTTCCTCCTTGCAGACTCCATGTGACTACACATTTGGGGACAGCAGTATCCTGTCCACCCAGTGACTTAGCTGCAACCCCTCAGGCAGATCTCTCAGAGCTACATGGCTCAGTGGCTCAGAGCTCCTGCCTTCTCAAGTTCTGTAAGAGCCAGGACAGCAAGGTCAGGTGATCAAAGACTCTGCAGACTCGCTGGCTGAAGACATGAAACAGGCCAGGTGGGACCTGGGTGAGGCTCACTGAGTGGCAGGCCCTCAGGCTTGGGCCCTGACACAAAGGAACCGAGGTGTCATGTCAGGGGTTAAGGCACTCACTTCTCAGCACATTTATTATGAGGAAAGGAAAAGAAACGTGTGTGTGTGTGTGTGTGTGTGTGTGTCCACGCATATGATGATTACATATTAACTTACATAAAGACCAAGTACCAAATCAGAAGAAAATAAACTTTTTTTAAAGTAGCAGGCTGTAAGTGATTCTAATTAGCTATTTATATTCATTATTTATTCTTTCTCTGCATGGTGTAATTAAAAACAATAAATTGAATATATACCCTGTATACAGGGGTGGGCAAAAGTAAGCTTATAGTTGTAACACAAATAAATATTATAATAATGAATAAATAATAATACAAGAATAAATTCTGTGTTTCACGTACTCACAGCTATAAACCTGCTTTTTCCCCCACCCCTGTATGTATTATGTGGTTACAATATAATGTTCTGTATGTAAATGTTAGAGAGGAGGGGTATCAAACACAGGTGACCAGTGTCTGCATGGAGGAACTATGTACAGGTAGAAGGGACAGGCCAATCAAGGGAGCGCTTCACCCGAGGTGGGGTGCCTGTCTGCATATATTGCAGGAATAAAAAATCATGTTCAGCTATGAAATCACCAAGTGAACAAATCCTAACAAGAGCAAATGTGCATGCTTGACTTTGATGCACTTCTCCTTATTGGCTCTTTAGTATGAGGCTAAAAACAAGCTTCCTGAAAGATTTCACTGGTGACATCACAAACTTGCTCACTGTTAAATTTCCGCTCCTGAGTACCATATAGTTATTAAAATGCAGGTTGATTAGAAGAGAGTTTATAACTATAAACACTAAACACCAAAGCCAGTTTAGTAATTCATAAAAAGCAATTTACATTTGGAGAAAAATAACTTAACCCATATACTGCTCAGGAGTGAACATTATGTTATTATCTTATACTCAGACACACATCGTTTTTCTGCTAGAGAATCCCAGAAAGGGCCTGTCTTCCTCCAGACATTGCAAAATGTTCAATTTGATCACACTGCCAGGAAGAAAAAGGTGTTTTCCATCTTTAATACCATAAATAGTTTGTTTCTCAAGTTGGTTCCAGGAAAAATGGTATACTGTCACATATCTAAACTTCTGACTAATGCAAAATATGCTGGAAACTCTCCCCCCTTAAAAAAATGTCTAAGTAGTAAGTTTGTGCTTTTTCTTAAGAAGTATTCTTAAGACCTGTGACTAAAATATTTAAAAAGTGTGCAGTTTTCTCCTCTGAATATTATTCTGCTCAAAGATGACTATCAAGATTTTTTTCTCAAATATTTTCCAGAATAACTTAAGTAATATCAGCCAAAACAAGCATTTCTTCTTCTGCTCAGGAGAATCTTTGCTCTGAGAATAAAAAAAAGCTTACAAAATTACGTTTTGAAATAAATATTTATTTATTTATTTATTTGCATTGCAACCGAGTACAGTGCAACCAATATACCTACCAGCTAGATTATGGGTTGTTATTTGGTTGAGTACTAGGACTAACCTGGTAATTTTGAGGTAAAGAGGCAGCCAAGAGCCCTCTCTCCATTTTCTGGGGGCACTTCCAATAGAGAGAAGGGCACTGGGCTGGGTGGCTGATAGTTAAGCACCTACCATAGTCGACAGCGATGAGAGAGGCAACCCATTTACCTTCCCAGTTTTATCCCACATTGTCCATCATATGCAAAAATGAACTCTTTGATCTGTTAATAATTCAAGTCAATTTAACATAGCTTCTTTAATCAAAAAGTACCACTAAGTGCATGATCCTTAATGACCTTGTCCCATGTTTTATCTCTGGTACCTACAATGGCCTGCTATACAGCAGATGCTCAGGAGACACTCACTACATGAATCAACTATTCAGTTTAACAATGTGAATGTTAAATTAATATATTATTTGAAAGCCCATGAATGCATTTCTCTGAATGGTATTTAGATTCAAGAAAGTTTTGTTTTGGTTTTGCTTTATTTTTCTTCACAAATACAAGTATTATTACTAGTTTATATCTTCAATAAGATTTATTTATGCTATAATAAATAATATTTATTATAGGATCCCTATGATTAAAGTTTGGCCTACAATGTTGTCAGTTCTTAATATTATCAATGACCATAAAAATGATGGCTGAAAATGAACCAAATCAATATTATTAGTTAAACTAAGAATATATATATATATATATATATATGTTATATTAAAAAGCTATACAGTGGTTAGATCTTAGATTTTAGACTCAGAAAAAAATTGGATTCAAGTTCCAGATCTTTAGGTAGCTGAGAAACTTTGGGCACTTGATTTTAATCTCTTTAATCTTATTTCCTTATTGCAAAATGGGAATCATAATAATATTTGCCTATAATAATAGTGTTTACCAATAATAGAATTGTTGTGAGGATTAAAAAATATAATTCATTTAAAGTACTAAAATAAGTACTTGGCACAGAAAAACTACTCACTAAATACATTCCAATGATGATAAAAATTTAATGCAAAGGTTTTTCTAACATTTTTTGTCCTTTCTGCAGTAATGATAGACATTCTTTTTTATTTTTACTCTTAATAAGATATCAGTCATTCTTGTGAGAATATAATCATACCTCTGTTCCACGGAGGTCCTTAGGAAAATAGATCTCTTCAGTCATTTGAACACTTAGGCCAAAATCTACCAAAACAGCTTTTGTAGACATGAAAACAATGTTGCTAGCTATAAAGAAAGGAAAATGTTTAGTAAATAAAATGAAAGCATTATCTAAAACAAGTCCCAAATTAGAATAGATTAAAATATTTTCCTTTCTGAAATGGATGTAATATATTCAAAAGAGAAGGCTGAGAGTAAAAATCACTTCAGGTCTGTCAAGAATTCAGCCCATATGGACGTAAATGATTGCAGCCACTAATAATGTTAAAGGCACAACGACCAAGACATAGAAACAAAATAAGACTGAAGCATGGATGCATGGAACAGACTGACATACGTAAATGTGGGGGTGGGGTGGGGGGACAAGGAGATATAAACCAAAGAACTTATATACTTATATGCATAGCCCATGTTCACGGACAATAATAGGGTCCTGAAGACCTGAGGGGGAGAGGTGTTCGGCAGGGGGAAATGAAGTGTGTGGGGGGGAGGGAAGGGAATGGGAGACATCTGTAATTCTGTCAACAATAAAAAAATATATTTAAAAAAAGAAAATGTGATATACAGTGTGTGTGTGTGTGTGTGTGTGTGTGTGTGTGTGTGTGTGTGATGGAATATTATTCAGACATAAAAAAGAAGGAAATCTTGCCATTTGTGACAATCTGGATGGACTTGGAGAGCATTATATGCTAAGTAAGTCAGACCGAAAAAGACAAATATTATGTGATCTCACTTATATATGGAGTCTAAAAAACCAAACTCATAAAAACAGAATAGACTAGTGAGTACCAGAGAAAGTGGGTGGGGAAAATGAGTGAATGTGGCCAAAGGATAAAACTTCAGTTATAAGATGAATAAGTCTTGGGGATGTGACATATAACATCATAACTATAGTTAACAACACCATGTTGAATATTGGAAAGTTGCTAAAAGGGTAGATTTTAAAAGTTCTCACCACTAAAAAATAATTATAACTACGTGAGGTGATGAATGTGATAATTGGCCTAATTGTGGTAATCATTTTGTAATATATATATAAAATCATTACATTAAACTTACACAATGCTATATGTCAATTATATATCAATAAAGCTAAAAAAAACACATTAATGCTCAAGAGCTTGCATTCCCAATTCTATGATATAAACATACTATTATTAAGCCACTTTCTAAAAAAATAAGTAAATTTCCTTTTTTCCCCAGTAAAAGTACTGCCACTCCTATTTATCATTAGATATTAAGGATCCATAGTGGGTCTCTCTTGTTGTTTTCTCCTCACCTTACCCCTAGAAAGCAGTCAATGAAGGCTCATTGAATGAACTATTGCAAAATTGATGTTTAAAACTTAAAAGCTATTTGTTTCTCAATAAGATGTGGCTGTATGTGTGTTTTTTTTTTTAAGTAAATTAGTATTTTTAAAAGCCAGAGACAGTACTTAATAGAAGTGTGGTTCTAGTCTTTTCCACAATTGGATAATCACCCTTCCTATGACACTGAAAGTTCCCTCTCTTGATTCTCAAAGGTGTTCAGAAGCACAGTGAAGGGCAAGGTGCTCCAAGGGAGCTGTGTGCCCTGCCCTGCCATTAAGACTCCTGTGAGTGAAGGAAAGATTCCATTTGCCTCCTAACTAGTCTCATGAAGCTGAAAGGGAACATATCTAAGGATAACTCACGTTTAATATCATGGTGAATCACTTTCTTTGAGTGCAGAAAATCAAGTCCCTTGAGAACATGCTTTGTCACCCAAATAATTTCAAATTCTCTCATTGGTCCACAGCTCTCCAGTTTCTCCAGAACAGACCCTCCCTCGCCTGCTTCCATGAAGAGATGGACAGTTTCACCCCATAGGACTGCGCCATATAACTCAGCAATGTTTTCATGCCGGAAGCAAGCCTGGATTTCCACATCAGATGGCTTAAATTGATCTACTGGGATCTAAAACACAAAAATGCCAGTAAGATTCTGAATAATCCCAGGACAGTGAAAAATATATATAAAGTCGGCTCTCCATATCAGCAGGTCTGCACCCACTGATACGGAGATTCAACTAAAGAATGTGAGCATCTGAGGATTTTGGTATCTTTGGGGTTTCCTAGAACCAATACCTTCAGATGCCAAGAGATGACAGTAATTTAGGTCAACCCACAGATCAAAGACAAATCAATGCCCTCAGGGATACCCTGATCTGCATAAAATTGTACCGCTTAGTTAAAATAAGGTTGACTTGAGATCTGACTTTACATTATATCAGCTCTAAGTAAGCAATTCAAAATAAGAAAATAAAAAGCACAAGAATGTATAAGTTATTATTTTCATTTAGAGTATAGAAATCTAATCAAAGAAACATTTATGATTGAATTAAAATAGCTAATTTCTTACTATTATATACTAGAGCCTGGTGCACAAAATTTGTGCATGGGTAAGGTCCCTGAGCCTGGCCTGCAATCAGGGCCATCTTCCCCAGCTGCTTGCATTTGGCCCTGTCCCCACCACCACCATCACCCCCAGTTCCCTGTTCACCATTGGGTGATTGGTGCTTGATGGCCAGGGGTTGGGGGCGAGGGGGAAGAAACTGAGATGTTGGCTGTTCCTGCCTATTCCCCTGCCCTACCCTCTGCCTTGCCCCCACCGTGGGTGGTCATCAGGCAATCAGAGCCTGCCAGCCAGGGAAAGAAACCAAGAGGTGGTCATTGTGCCTCATAGTGACTGGTCCAGCGGTTGTTCCAGTCATTCTGCTGTTAGGGTCAATTTGCATATTACCTTTTTATTATATAGGATGTAATTTCAATAGCACTTAGATTTTAGGTCATATTTTCAATATTTCATGTCATAAAATAATATGTCTTTGTTTTATAGCTCATGCTTTAACAATGCATTTAATATAAGTACTAAACACCCATTCTATAGAAAATCAAGTCATTAATAAAGAAAGAAGTAAATCTTTCAGTTCAGACAGGTCTGACGTGTCTCCAAAATATAGTGTTAGAGGAGGAAAACAAGACACAGAAGTACATATATTATGTCTCCATTTGTCAAAATTTAAAATAAAAAAATTTAACTATACAAGCATAAGTCCATAGACACTTTCTGGAAGGGTATGTAAGAACCCATTCACATTAGTTCCCTCAAGAAAAGGGACCTCATTTATTAAGCTTACCCTCTTCTAAATCTGTCTGGGGTTGTTAATCATCTTATATGTTTTTAGTTTTTAAGAAAAAATATATAGCTTAAAAATTAAATATAAGTATTAATAAGGAAAGCAAATCCACAAAGCTATTTTCCCATGCCTTTTATGATGAAACTGAAACACAAGACATTTTGGTTCTAAGATCTTTATGTCACCACATGCTTTTAAAAGAACATGAATATATCCTCTCTAATTGCAAGCTTCAAGTGGCTTATTATGACACCTGTTGTTTTCCTTCTAATACCAGATATTCTACCAAATCTATATGAAGGAACAAATAAAGCTAACATATTGTCAGTTTTTTAGTTATGATAACAGAGATTGAGATGATATTCAGTAATTATTTATTTTATTTTTGTTAAAACAAGTGAGTTTATTTTATTGCAATATATTTTATATATTTTAAAATAAGACAGACATACATAAAAGTGTAAAACTACTTAAGTACTAAACTCAATGCTTTATTAGCTGAACACACCCATATAACCAACATCTAGATGAAGAAACAAAATTACACAATTCTCCCAGCACCCAGAGACTCCTTTGGACCCCTCCAGTTACTGCTCCTCAAAAGAGCCCACTAACCTCATTTCCAACAGCATAGATTCGGTGAGCCTATTTTTGGCTTTTATATAAGTAGAATCTCATACTGTAGATCATATTTTGAGTCTGGCTGGTTTAGTACAACATAATGATTATGAGATTCATCTACTTTATTATCATTGAAAGTCATTTATTTTCTTGGCTATCCAACATTCCATTGTGTCAATATACCATATTTCAGCAACTGGAAACTTTCCAGTTTGGGATGATTACAAATAGTGCTGCCATGAACATTCTAGTACATAGTTTTCGGTGACCACGTGCACATGCCTATCGGGTAGAACTGCTGGGCCATCAGGCTTGTGCATGTTCAGCTTAGGTAGATACTGCCAAACACTCTTCCAAACTGGGGGCACCTCACCTTAACTGGTTACTAAGAATAGATGGGATCTTTTCAAGAATGGCCTATTTAAGTTCAGCCTTTAATCGGCAGTCCTGGGAAGCCTTTACCAGCTTCTGCTTCCCTGCCTGGTCCGCTCCCCAGGGGGTGGATTAAAGGAGCAGCACAAGGATCTGCTCTGCAGGAGAGCTCCCCTCTGCTCCAGCCCACCACAAGAGAGATGACGTTATCCAAACTGGTGTTCAATTAGCCAGCACTTTCTTTTTTTAATCATGGCAAACTAGATTAAAGTCAACTATGTACTTGGGCAGATTTAGGGGCTGAACAGCCCCAGGAGCAAGCAAATCCATAAAATACAGATGCTTTTGAATAAGGAAACCTTAGACAGGATCCAGTCAAAGGCTAACAAGTTTTGAATAAAGCAATGCAGTTCACTCTGCCTGGTTATAAAGAACATACCAGTTTACATGCCATTCTTTTTTTAGTTTTTATATCTTGCGCTAAGTACACTTTTCCAAAGGCCCCCCGAGGAATGAAATCGGAGCCAATATTCCTGTACGTCAGCTTCCAGGGGATGAGGAGAACATCAGAGTCTATTTGATAGCGTCCATTTTCGGGAGTGATTACCTACAATAAATAAAAATGTGGTAAAGTGAGAATTCCAGCAAAATCCTCTTCTAAGACCAGCCCTTTAAAAACAGGTTACTTTAGGTTGCATTCCTTCATGTATTGCCACTGTGTGTAATCCTAACAGTATACAGACTATATTTAGAGGTTTAGCCAAGACAGAGAAAGCATGTAACAGAAACACATCCATCCCTGGTCAGACCTGATCAGATTTCCATCTACTGGGGAGTCATTCATTGCCAAATAGAACTTTAAAAATAATTTATCTAAGGGAGCATGACTACTGTGTCCAAGAGGCTGAAAATAAAGATTGCATAAATATAAACTGTGCCAACAAGTTGACTTGCTCCCCATTAAAACGTACTAACCTGTTAGTCCACATAGCTATTACTCAGACATGATGCATATAGAGAGAGTGTGGAAATAAACTGATGATCATGGAAGATTCTGGAAAACAATGTGTTATGCCAGAGCTATGAGTTGACAGTGCTACCTAAATAAAGTAAGGGCGGAATTATTTCTCGTCTACTTACTCATTTAATATTTATTGAGTGCACAATATGTGCCAGGCACAGTATTTGGAGCTGAGGGGGCTGCTGTGCAAGAGATAGATGATCCCTAACCTCCAAGAGTTCACGACAAGAGATTTTGAAACCAGTCCACTCAAAAATTAAGAGATATGGTCTGACAGTGGTGTTGGTTACAAGTGTGTGCATTTATCAAAACTCATCAAACTGCACACTTAAGATCTGTGTGTTTTACTGCATATAAAGTCTATCTTGATTTTGAAAGAGTAAACAAATAAAAAAAATAATTAAAATTAAAACAAATTAATAAGGCAGTGCACAGGAGCTGACCTGGAGTACAGGCCTAAAAAACATCACTAAAGTGTTCTTTCAAGAGATAAAGTGTCTCAAAAATACAAGTTTTTCTTGTAAGTATAATTAGTAATGATATGACTGCAGATTATGAATTTGGGAATTATGAAACCATCAAGGCAACATCTAGTTATTTCACGTACAGACAAAGCAAAGGGGGAACTGTAGAGCAAAGGAGGAAGAATGGACACCTGATTCATGTGCAGATGCAGGAGGCTCCTCACAGGCCTGCACTCCAGGAATGGTTTCAGTAACCGTAAAGGCTATTCTCAGTCTCCACTATTGCTAAGCTTAGCTGCACAGTCCACAAGCAGATGTGCTCATTATTAGTCAGGGAATGAAACAGAATTCTAACATTTAGAAATGTGAAGTCAGTAAATTAAAAAATTAAATATTTACTGAGCATGTCCTCTGTGCAGGATTCTGTGCAGAGCTCCAGGGAAATGACTAAGGACAGACCACAGGCTTCGCTTGTTTAAAATATGACCTCCTTTCAAGAAGTGTGTCACCTCAAGTTATTGGGGGTCTCTTTTTACAGCAAAGAACATGATGAATCTAGTCGCCTTCCACATTTAGGCAGAACCATGCTCACTGCATTCAATCGTACTTGAATACTGCCTTTCTTGCCATTAAATATTTACACTGTAGCCTCTCAGTCATCCACTTCAGTGTTTAATTCACTTTTGTGAAAGCTTTACTTTTGTTTAACCAAAATTTGTTTTAATACAATGTGACCCAGTGTTTGTTATTCTATCCAAGAGGACAAAAAATAATAATAGCAGCCATATATTGAGTGCTAATTGTCAGCCAGGCAGTGTGCTCAGTACTTGAACATTACCTCATCAAAGTCTCACAACAGTCCTACGCAGTAAGTACTATTTTTATCTCCAGTTTACAGATGAGAAAACTGGCTTCAGAGGTTAAGTAACTCACTAGTTAGTGACAGAGTCAGGATTCAAACTTGGGGCTGTCTGCCCCTAAAGCCACCACTCCTAGTCTTTGGATGACAGCCTTTTATCTTCCAGGAAGCTATAATTAAAGCTGAGCCATGATCAAAACCCAGTTATTAAAGCCTATGTTTACATGTCACTGAGCACACCTTACCCTCTTTGGATCAAATCCTACAAGTACCTTCACCTCCATGTCGTAATCTCCCACATCCCAGGGATCCCTTCTGAATGTCCCTCAGGTTCTCCATAGCCACCTCTAATGTAGGGGGTGATAGGCAAGTACTCACCCCTTTGCAGTTCTGCACAGTTCCTGGTTTTTTCCCTGGCCCTAGACCTTCCCTATTTGGGTTTGAGATGTTTTTCACCCTTTTTTTCTAGGAGGCTCTAGATCTTTGTGGATCTTTGTGCTGCTTATCTCTGCCAATTCTTTAAATGATCAAAGCCTTATTTAAGTGGAGACATTATAAGCTCCAGATCACTGTCATAGATACCAGATAACACTGGGCCAGGGACAACACTTCAGAAAAATCCTTAGGTACTTCAGTGAAAATAAATTCCCTGAGGGACCTATGTGATGTGGCTGCTGTGAAATGGATGCAACCTTGGGCTATATTAAGAGCATATTCTCTAGAACAGAGGCACAGCTGGCTGGCCACACCACAAATTGCCCGCCACGTTCGTGTTCTGGGCTACAAGACAGGCACAGCACAGGCTTGACTTCAGAGGGCACTATCCAGATGATGATGGAACCTGACACTAAAATACATGAGAAGTAGAAGACACAATGAGATGTGTTTGTGAAAGAGGAGAGAAAAAGTGGGGAACATGCAATTTTAAAATATTGACAGGATAATCACAAGGAAGGAAAATAATAGTTATATACAACAAATTCCAAAAATGGCTTGTGTTCTTTCAACACTAACTATTTAAATAGGTCCTATGCCTTCATCATTTGTTCTACCAACAACTCTCTAGAGTAAGTGCTGTCATTGTTACCCATTTTTCAAATGAGTAAACTGAGACCCAGATGGGGTATGATAACTGTCCAAGGTCATATAACTAATCCATTTCAGAGCTGAGATACATATGCAAGAACTTTAATTTATGAGCCTGCAATCTTTGCCACTACTCATCACATTTACCTTTTGATGGCCAAAGAATACAAATAGGACTAAGAAGAGTCAGAGATGGAATTTAGTTTTATTGAAGAAAGGATTGTCTTACAATAGAATTGGCCAAATAGGAAATTAAATGTCTTGAACTCTTCATCACAGGAGATTATCAAGCATAGACCAAAATCCTCCAGCAATTATTCAATTATTGGAGATGATGGGGGGGGGGAGATCATTGGAGATGATCCAAGCTTAAGATAGAGGAGGATTTAATTTGTTAACTTTAAGGTTTTTCCATCCCTGAGAAAGCTGGGATCCCATGACTAACCCTGAGGAACAGCATGCAGAATCTCATACCACATCTGGGCCCTTCAGCACCCCATCACCATAGTCAAGTATTTGAAAACCATTTTAGTTTCTTCATCCCAGATCAGGTTATTATGAATTGGTCTAGATTATAAAGTTTATGAATAACTTGTGGCACTCTTACACGAAGCAACCCCTATGATAGACTCCTAAAGCTTCCTCCCTTGTCCTGCTGGAAGTTAGTGATATCTTTATGAAATATTTTTAGGAAAAGAACACACACCTGCAAACCACCATTTAACATGCCTGTGCTTCAGGATATTTCTGTAATTCCTGTTCCTCCACCCTCATTAACTGATTAACTCTACAGGCATTGTGGTGGTTGGATGCCTGAAAGACACCATGTCTCTGTCTCTGGGCCTTTGCACATGCTATTCTCTTCATCTGGCACACTCTCAGCTCCCCATCCCCTTCATCTGGCTGACTCTAACTCAATAACTTGGGCATAAAGTCTCCTTGAAAGCATCTCTGATAATATCTTGGCCAACCTACCCCATCTCATGGCTGTGTGAGGTACTCTGCCTGACCATCCCCAAAGCAATCATGATGTAGCTGCATTATAATTGCCTGTTTACTTGCTTCTTACAATCACCAGGCAGTAAGCTACCAAAAAGCACAGTTCACTACTGTATCTCTAGCATTTAGAAAGGCACCTAATACATTGTGGATGTTCCAGCCATGTCTAGCATCCACTTGAATGAAAGCATTTGGTCCATGGAGAGAGATATTCTTATAAATAGATCTTACCATGGAACCAATCTGTTTGGTAGATAATTAGCTGTTGTTTTGTAAAGCAGAGAGAGAGACCAGCAAATGAAGCCCAAAAGAAAAAAGTTTTGAGGATGAAAGGTGCTAAAAACAAACCTTGCCTCAATAGCATCTCACTCAAACTAGCTATGATCAGAAATGGAAAGTCACAATTTCTATGCCATTATTCATGAAACACAGAGCTTTGATAAGTTATCGTAGTCACTGGGATTTATCTGATCCTTAAGGTCAGTGACAGGAATGTCAACCACAGCCCCAAAGCCATCGACCAGTGAGGCACAGTTAATTCCTGTGAATTTTAAGTTTTTCCTGTTATTCTGTCTTGTTTTTAAGTTTTCTTGCTTCATATTTTATAGTCTTGATCATTTTTAAAAGAAAAAAAATCTTTTTAAGTTTTCAAGATCTCTGTCTTTTGATATGTCCTAGTCTTAAATTTTCTCTAAATATAGATTTGTTCATTTACAGTTAGAGGCTCAATGGCAGGAAATGTCATTTTACTCTTACCCTTAGTTGATCTAAAATTTTCACTTCCTTTAAAAGTCTTAACTTCTCCTTTTCTGCATTAGCTTTTGTTTAAACTCCTCATAATTTTCCTACATTCCCTCTGTACATTCCCTATGAAGGTCTATGTCCTGTCTCTCACCAGTCTGATGGCCCAGGGGAAATGTATCTAAGTATCTTCAGATTTACAAGCAAGAGTAATTTGTTTATTCTGCATGCTTTCTTTTAAAATGTCTATTTTGACACACAAATATGTAAAAAAAAGAAAAAGAAAAAAAGAAAAAAAAGAAAAAAAGAAAAGAAAAGAAAAAGAAATGCATAAACAATTACATTTGTCATTATAGACTTACACATAATTTTGAACCAAAGTTCTCTATCTATATCTAAGCTAAGAAAATCAGGTATTGCTGCTAGTTCAATGATTAGCAAAAGTAATATTCTCAAGGTAAAGTACTTTGTCAACCATTAAATACAAAATAAGTCACAAAACTATGCAAAATTTAACATTCCTCTAAATTGAGCTACAGATGAACACAACTGACTTCTAACAAAACAATTCACTATCTAGCTGACCCAAGTCACTGTGTTGTTTTAAATTGAATGAATGCATATGCAATAAAAACAAAATAATTAAGTAATTTGTCCAGATTCTACTGTTCAGCTCTGACCTTCTCCTCAACATTAGCCATTTTGCCATTTAGATGCACCAAAGGGAAGGGAGTCACTTTCATCAATAAGCATGTTTGCAAGTTACCCCCTACTCCTTTGTAAATTATTATTTTTTTTTAAATTAGATTACCTTTAGCCAGCACCTACATTCACCTTTGACATATTAAGAGACTGAGAGAATCCCAGGCACACCTAAACACATCATCTGACCTACTCTTGTGGCAACAAAGTGTTGTCACAATATTTTGGATTATTTGCATACTTGGAATGACAAGCAAATACATCATTTGTCATTCATACTTTACCAATTAAAGAGAGTGAATCTGTAGATAGCTATTTACTGCCTACAGAATACATTTCTGCAAAAATAGAATTTAGCCAGTACTGATATTGTGAAAATTCCATATGTGACAAGAGCAAAAAATTCACCTTTCAAAAATATTAATTAAAGATAAAGTTTTTATTTCCCTCTCAGAAAAAGGATTCTCATTAAACCTTTCTCTTCTGCCTAAATGATGAAGGAGCTTTTTAATGAATTTTTTTAATGAATTGTTAAATTAAAATACACTCTTCTTCATTCCTTTTTTGTAGAACTATACTACTAAAAATTGTTTAAGTGGAACTTTTAGTGAAGATTCTTTTTGCACCTTCAACATGAAGATTCTTACAGATACTACATTAAAAAAAAAAAAAATCATACCTGGCAGCCAGTCTAACCCAAATTCAAATGCCACTCTCCATTAAACCAAGGTGTAGCAAAAGTAATATTCTCAAGGAATATCGATCAGGAAAAAAAAACATACCATATTTAATAAAATTCCCGATTCTTGTCGTCGGTGTCCATAAAAACGCTTTGCAGTATTGGATATATGGTTTGCAAAAGCAAGCAAATCCTCCACAGTTCCATATCTGACTGATGACAGCCACGGCACATCTTGGCCACTGAGCAGCAGGGACTCTGAATTTTCCTCGTTTTGATTGCTGTCTTGACACATGGTCATTAGACCGGGTTTGTAAACCGCTGGCTCCTCACTTGCGTAAAGATTTTCCATAATGTCTATTACATCAGAGACATTCAAATGTTTAATTAATAAATCAATTTCTTCTTTATTGTCACTTCCAGTGCTCATGTACTCCATTACTGTTGTGCTTTTCAGAGAGTCTGCAAAAGAAAACAAATACTGTGTTTACTATATTTGTATTAGCATTTGAAATCAATGGGCTTCTTTACGCCTTTGTTTAAAAAATGAGGGCTCTGTGACTATAGGCGTGTGAATGTAAGTGGACAGAGAAAGAGACCTTAGATAACCTTTAGTCCAGCTTGCTCGCTTGCAGAGGGGAAACCTGAGATCCAAACAGCTTATTCCTTACTCACTTACTGAGTTAGTGGCATCAGCCATAGCCACTGAAAACAAACTTTCACTAAACATAAACAGGAATAAGAGCAGCTCAGGAATCCTGGGAATTAAGGCTCCTGGTTTTTTACAGCTTCCAACCCATTTACTCCCCGATGGGGGCAACCTTCCAGCATGGTCTCTGTGGCTTTTATGCATCAGGTGCCCTCAAAGAAAAAGAACTACATTACCAACTAAAATTCAGGCCCTTAAGCCAGAAGCATGCAAAATGGATTTAAATTTAAGCAAATTGATGATAGTAGGTCAAGTTTCAGGGATAATTCTAATGCAAATCACTTAAATGGCTCATTCACACATGGGTCAAGCCTCAAATCTTCCTTCTGTCAGCAATGAGTATGAGAAAGGGGAAGAAGATTCTTTAATCTGTGAATCAGCTGTCCTCCTTTTTCTTTTTTTCAGCTGTCCTTTCTAGAGACCAGAATTTTTTAAATTTTATTTTATTGTTTAAAGTATTACAAATAGTTTAATAGTATATATCTCTCCTTTTTTTCCCCCATTGACCTCCCTCAGGCCTCCCCCATTCCCCCTCAACACAAACACACATGCCCTCATTCCTCCTCCCCAGTGTCTTGCATCCATTGGTTATGCTTATATGCATGCATACAAATCATTTGTTTGATCTTTAACCTCCACAATCCTCCCCAGCCTTCCCACTGTAGTCTAACAGTCTGTTTGATGCTTTTTTGCCTCTGTATCTATTTTTGTTCATCAGTTTATAAAGTTCCTTATATTCCACAAATGAGTGAGGTGGTATTTATCTTTCACTGACTGGCTTAAAGATCAGAATTTTTTAATAGTACAAAGCATACATCATAAAGTTCTAAGAAGGTTAATTTAATATCTAGATTAATGGCCCTCTAGAAGTTGTGATCTTACAAAGAGGCCAGGCAAGCCAAATTTATCATAAGCAACCTGAGTAAGGCCAACTATTAGCTACGACTGTATTTCATTTCTTATATACAAATCAGGTGTTACACCTGGGGATCTGCAAATGAGAAAAGGAAAATCAATAATGCTCAAGATTTTAATTCTATTCCAGGGAATTAAAGATAAAAATGTTTCAGAGACTTAAGAGAATTTGGAGGTCTGTATGTCTACTTAAGCTACTGTGTTCCTGAAAGCACAGCCTCTCTCTAAAGAGCACAAGCCTTTAACACATTCTACACTCAGTACAAAACGGCCATACTTCCTTAACCTGGAGCTCCAGTAGATGCCAGGAAATCTTCCACAGGCAACTCACCACCCAACTGCTTGGGCTCTCAGTGAATTTCATTTCAGAAAAGACCACGAAATGTACAGATGATGTATTATAGCATTGCACACTTGAAACTCAGATAGTTTTATTAACTAACTAGAGGCCCGTTGCACAAAATTTGTGCTGGGGTGGGAGGGGGGGGGAGGGGGGGAGAGGGTCCCTTCAGCCCAGCCTGCACCCTCTCCAATCCAGGACTCCTCCGGGACACAATCCGGGACCGCTGGCTCCTAACCATCTCCTGCCTACCTGCATGATCACCCCCTAACTGCTCCCCTGCTGGCCTAGTCACCCCTTACTGGTCCCCTCCCCCACCAGCCTAGTCACCCCAACTACCCTCTGCTGGTCTGGTCGCCCCTAACTGCCAACCTCCAATGACGTGGTCATCCCTAACTACCCCTCTGCTGGCCTGGTTGCCCCATGCAGTCTGCTGTTCAGTCGTTTGGTCATCCCTCACTAACCCCCCTGCCAACCTTGTTGCCCCACAGAGACTGTGTTCAGTTGTCCGTCTAGTTGTTTTGGTCATGACGACCCCTGGCTTTTTATATATTAGGATATCATCCCAATAACTTTAATTAAAAAAAAGAAAAAAAGAAAAGAACCACACAATTTTGCTTTTTCATTAACTTACTTCACATTCATTTTCTGTTATATGAATTTGTGGTAGGCAGTTAGACAAGTTCAGAGCAAGGATGATACAGGTCACCAGAGTAGAGAGCCTCATTTGCCTAACACTAGGCAAAACTGGGAAAACTCTAGTACTGAGGTTGCTGAACCAAGGTCCCTATCAGTCTAACACCTGGTGTCATTCTCATTACTACCAACAAATTATGCCTTAAGAAAGAAAGCAGCATCTGCAGTCTAGACATTCTATCTAGACTCACAATCTTGGTATCAACTATTGGCCCTTCTTTTATTGTCTGCATGATCTTGGGCTAATACTTTAGCCTCTCTGTATCTCAGCTCCCCCATTTGTTAAATGGAATCTTAATAGCACCTACTTCATAAGATGGCTGTGAGGATTAAAGGAGCTCAAGTGCACAAGGTGCTTGGTGCAGTCGGGTGCACAGTAAATAAGCTGTATCATTTGTAAGTGCTATTGTGTGCAAAAAAGACACAAGGACTGATTCAGCCACCTGGCTTTGCAGATATTGCATTAGGCCTCCTTTCTTATCAGCAAATGGTTTGTGGCTACCCAGCTTCTTCACAGTAAGGTTGTAAAGTCCCCAGCTTCTTCACAGTAAGGTTGTAAAGATTATATCTAAAACAAAAGACAAAGAAAAAAAAAGGCAGGAACCTATGAAATACTTTAATGGTTGTTACCACCACAGTTACATACAGAAAGCAAAGGAAGCCTCCTCTCAGAGAGATCTTGCAAAAGCTTGGAGTCTGCTGAGTTCTAAAAGGAATTTCTATGGTTAAGGGAGGAACATTGGCCTTAGGTTTCATCGAGCCATTTAGTTGCAGTTTCTACTTGTAGAATTTACAGAAAAACAGAAGTTAAGACAAAAATAGCCTGACTTGGGACCCCACTGGCTGGAAAGTTCCAAGGCTGCTGGATTTACTTATCAAATGGCTGACTTGAGAGAAAATAAAGTTCTCAAGAGTAATGTGACTCAAGAAAGAGAGGAAAAGGTCTATACAGTTTACTAGCCAGTCAGCAGATCCAAAAAGGAAACACAGGTTATGGTTTTTAAATCTTGCATAAAGTCTCAAGTATTTATATGTAAAACCTAAGGCAGAGGTTAAATACATATACTTTTAAATTTCATGGTAGAGGCAGAGCAGAACAGAAGGTGGGGGAGGAAAGCAGGGTAAGAGGCAGAGGGGGTGGAGGAGTGTATGACTGAGACTGTTTTTGGAGCCAGGCATAATTCCTTAGCAACGCAGGACTCTTCTCACGCAAACCAGTGCTCCCTAAGCAACCCCAATGACCAGTCCACCCACAAAATACCCCTGCAAAAAGGCTCAGCACTTTCAAGCCTAAATTAAGCAGACAATATGCTAATGATTTCTAAGTTATTCATGATCAGTACCCACGGAGAAAATGTAGATTGTGAAGGTATTCCACTTTAGCAATCAAGACCCTTCTTCACACAGTTCACAATAAAAATCTTCATAAAATTCCTACTTCTTATCAAAGTAGACGACTATGTCACATTTAGAAATGGAAAGATGAACAAATACAGACAAAATTATTTGCTTCAGATTATTTCAGGAATCATCCATTAGGCCAAAAGGAAATCCTATTTTTAAACATTAATGTCATGGCTACTTGCATAGTTGAGGGTTTCCTCACAAGTGTCAATGAAAATGGCTAAGTTTATGGGCATCACGTCTGCCTAACAAAAGATGATCATAGCTGTGTTGCTTCCCATTTAAAAGATTTCTCTGCCAAACTAAGCACATTGGCAGAGAAATTTAAGCCACAGAATGACACGGTTTGGCTATATAGAAGCACAGCCACTCTGCTTCAAAATTTCTAAGGCATCAAACACCCAATTATATTTAGAACCCTGAAGGGCACCTGCCAGAACTGTTGCATACTTACAGTCCATTAGTGTTGGGGGCTTCTGGTGGAATCAGATTATATTCTCCTTGGCAAATACCTGAGATTTAGGCCACAGACATGTAAAGCAACTGTATGTGTGTTTCTTTCCCTGTTCTTACCTGGAGTGGCCTTTTATTCTGGATCAATGTACAGTATGCTTTTCCAAAAGTGAAATAGACATTGCAATGTTTCATTTAAAGACAGCTGTGGCCTTCCCTATCAACTTTTGGGATAAACTCTGTGCAAGCCGTGCTGCCTTCTAAGCATTGTTCTCCGCCCAGAACTAGAAGAATTTCGGGGTACTGGGATCGCATTACCACCGGGAAACATTTGTGAAATAACTTTTTTCCTTCCTAATATTCTTAGATCAAAAGCCTGGCATTCGTGTTCTGCTATACCCTTTCTTTACCGAGTTATAAGCACGGAATTGAGTTTCAGCTCTTCAAACTGCTCTCTGCTCCGCCACCCTTACCCCCACTCCCTTTCCTCACCACTAAAGGAGCTTTTCAAGGGTTTTGTAAATATAAAAGCGCCCATCACTAGGGCGATGGCAGCGAGGCCCGCAGCCTCCGAGGTGCACTCACCGGGTCTGGCCGGGAAGAGCGCGGCGGTCGGGAGGCAGAAGCGGCGGAGAGAAGCGGCGATCTGTATCCGCACCCCCGCGCACTGCCCGCCCGGCGGCACGGAGCCGGGATCCGGGAAGGGGGAGGAGGAGGAGGAGGAGGAAGGGGGCGGAGCGCGAGCCGCCCCGGAGCCCGTTGCGCAAGGTGCTTTCCAGCGGCCACAGCCACTGCGTCCGGCTGGCGACAAGCGCGGAAGCGCAGCCCTGGGGGCGGCCCGCATGCCCTCACCGCCCAGCCCGGGAGCTGCAGCCTCGCCGGGAACACCCTCCCTTTCAGGATGTGGACCGCTGGGGCACCCCGGGGGGCTGAAGTCAGAAAGACACTGCCGAGCCCCAACACTGAGTTACCTGCGGCCTCCGCTCTCCCTCGCAGGCCGGGCGCTCCGGCTACCGTCCCCGAAGGCGCGGGTGCAGCGGGTGGCCGGCCCTCCCGAGCCCCGTGCGCTGGGGCCCGGAGGTCCGGCGGCGGCAGAGGCTGGAGCTGGCGCGGCTCCGGGGCCAGGTGCGCCGTGGACACCGGAGCGGACAACGAGCCCAGGCGTCCTCGGTGGCCCCGGACTCGCGGCGTCTGACCGGCCCAGTGGCTGCGTGAGTGCTAGCCACCGCCTCCCCGCCCTTTCCATTTCCCCTTTCTCTCCGTAAACAGAAAGGACTGCGGGGAAGCCAGAGCCCCCGCCTGGGAAATTCCGTCCCCTCCCCGCCTTTTTTGCCCTCAGGGACCCGGGCGGAGCTGAAGTCGCGATGTGGGAGGAGCGAGCGTTGCTCGGAGTGGGGTGAGCCCGGAGCGCCGGGTCAGGATGCACCGCACCGGCCACCTAGGGGACCCGGGCCATAGTCCAGGGCCTGCGACACCTGAGTTTTCCCTGGGACCTGATTGAAGGCGCCCCGATGGCGGAGTTATAAAGCACCACGGTCCCCGCACCCCTTGGTCCCTGGAAGAAGATGTATTTCCCGATGGAGCCCTCAGGCTGACTCTGGTGTCCTAGGTCCTGGCCCTCCCCGCCCCGCACCTCTTGGGGACAGAGAGTGGCCAGCTGTCCCCGCCACGCAGCCAGAGACGCAGAGCGTTTGCCTTCTCTGGCCCGGTCCAGATTTCAGCTCAGGTACACACACACACACACACACACACACACTCACTCACTCACTCACTCACACACTCACACACTCACTCACTCACTCAGTGCCACTCTCCCTGGTCCACACACACACACAAACACACACACACACACACACACACACACACACACACTCACTCACTCACTCAGTGCCACTCTCCCTGGTCCACACACACACACACTCACTCACTCAGTGCCACTCTCCCTGGTCCTCCCCCCCCCCCCCACACACACACACTCAGTGCCACTCTTCCTGGTCCACACACACACACTCGGTGCCACTCTCCCTGGTCCTGCACACACACACACACACACACACACACACTCACTCAGTGCCACTCTCCCTGGTGCACACACACACTGGGCTGAAAGGGTGTGAAAGGCTGCGGCAGGCTGGGCGGGCACCTGGGGAACAAGCACCTGAAGGGGGCTGGTGTTATCCGCCAGAAAAACCTGGTTGGGTTCCTTATTGGACCTGGTTATTTTATGTTACTGCCCATTACGGAGTGTGCCAACTGGTCTCCCCCTCCTCTTCCCAGCTGTGAGTCCAGCATTCTCTGTCCTGCTCAGAAAGATCAAAGATAGTTTATAGTGCTCTCCTCTGGAGTAGGAAGCTTGGAGCCAGAAGAAAGATCTAGGGAATTAGCTCCTCTCTCCCCGAAGTCCACTGGGCAGGACAGTCCCAATACTCACTGAGCCGCAGCCCCTGCTCCCCCTACCCCCTTACCCACCCCCCCCATACTGCCTTAGTGTCAAAAAGCACCTGCTGTGACAGACATTTGACAATTTGGCGACAGCCCAGAGGAAAAGAGAAGGTGTTAGGCAGGCATCCCCTCCGCCTGACACACACACACACACACACACACACACACACACACACCAGGGACCTGGGCATGCCAGGTAGAGCCCAGACTCAAAGCCCCCTCCACTGTGAGCCCACGCCCTGCCCTTTCCGGAACCCAAGCTCATTCAAAACTGCCTCACACTGGCTCTAGGGCACTCTGTTCTATCCGAAAGTGAATTGTTATTCTGACCCGAGGCAGTCACATGAGACCTGGGCTAGCTGAAGAGAGAAGCAAGGCCCTCCTTGTAGGATCTTTACACTCATTTCCTAGTGCTTAGGGGCAGGCACGGAGGAGGATGACAGCACAGGGATTAAAAGGGAGCCCAAAGCCAGGAGAACTGAATGGATGACTAAGAGCTGATCACCACCGCCTCCCCCAATTGTTTTAAATACTAGAATGCTGGGACAGGAATAAGATGTGTTCCAGCCCTGGAACTCTGCAGGGGATCCTGCCCCTGCCAGGCAGTGGAGGGATCCCAGGTCCCAGAGGAGAAGCCCTTCTCGGGAATTGCCTCTGGTTCTGGAGGGAGTGAGCACTCCTTAGACCATTCCTGAGGCTCTAATTGGGCAGGGGCAGCTTGCCCAGAAAGGGAGGCGACAGCTGGTCTGGACCAGGACTCCGTGGAATATGGCCCTGTCTCAAGAGCAGATGATCCCAGTTTTGACTTGAAGTGACGTTTGAAAGCCTTTTTCTCTGCAAACCAGGTTGGCCAGGTCGCTATCTTTAATGGTAACTAACGTGAGACAAGTCTCTCCATCATCGCTTGGTTGTATTCGAGCAACAAAGGATGATCTTATCCAAAGCATTTTAAAAATAGAAACATGGGACCATCCCTGCCCCAACCCACTGAATGAGATCACTAAACCACACCTCATCTTCTGGGAACTAAGTATCAGCCTGACTTCCTACATAGAGGTCTCCCAAAGAGCTCCATTTTAGGGAGCTGGTGAGAAGGTTGCTCCAGCCAGGTTCTCGCTGGCTGTTGAGGACTTACACAATAGCAGATTTCATCTAGCAGGATGAATTAAGAGGTGTTACTCAAAAACATTTTTAAACTCCAAGATTGGATCTGATGGCTCAGAAGAGGCTGAAAAGAAAGAACTAAAAATGGAGAAAAAGTTTGCAGACTGCTTGCATTTTTCTTGATCAGTTCTGTTGACATGGGCTTACAAAAGTGATCCTGTTCTTTTAAAAGCTAGCAAAGTGAGGTTCAAAGTGGCCAATTAGAAGCCACCTGAGCCAGAGTGCACAGCAGAATGAGTTACTCAAGAAGTAATTGTAAAGTACATTACAAAACAGCTCTCTGGAAGCTGTTCCCAGGAAACAAGATGCTTTAGAGTAAGTTGTAACTAGTGCCAGTTTACTTGGAGAGACTTTCTCCACCTACAGGTAGGGACAATAATGGGTTTGTAATCTGTAGTTTGGAAATCAGGATTTATTTACTCATGGAATGAATGGCAGGCTGCCTGGACAGTGCATTGGCCTATGGAACCACAAATGGGACACTATGTTAATAATTATAACATAGGACATTGCTTTCCAATCTCTTTCATATTTGTAAAGTACAGTGTTTTAGAGAATCCTGAGATAAATTGGAATAAATTAGGGTATACATATTGTGGGTTGGTGAAAAAATGTGTTTAATTTTCTTAAATTATAATAATAAAATGCAAAGTATTTGAGGAAGATAATACTGAGTTTTAATAAAGCTTTAAATAAGATATTTTTATTTGTGTGCTTTCTTTTTTAATCCTCACCTGAGGATTTTTCCATTGATTTTTAGGGTGAGTGGAGGAGGGAAAAATAGAAAGAGACACCATTTGGTTGCCTCATGCACAAACTCCAGCCAGGGCCTGGGCCGGGAAGAACCCTACAACCAAGGTACATGCCCTTGACATGAATAGAATCTGGAACCCTTCAGTCTGCAGGCCAACGCTCTATCCACTGAGCCAAACCAGCTAGGACAATAAGGTATTTTTAAAGTTAAAGAGGCACTTGAACCTGTTTTCATGAGCATAAGTTTTTTTCTATATGGTTTGTTGTAACAACTATACATATTTACCAATTAAGGTGTTTGAATAAGATCTGTTCAAACTTTTGGTAATAACCTTCAGGTGTGAAACTGTAAAGACAGAGGTAATAAATGTCAAACCATTATTATAATTAAAAAAAATTTTTAAACAGCTAAAATTGTAGCTTAAAAACCCAGTAGCTCTTCTTTTTCTTTGATTGACATAGTTAACTTTCTTATAATAATGTCAGTGGATTTTGATTATTATTGAACTTTTTCATATTAAATCTTTCAAAATTACAAAGCTTTGATCAATTAGCTTGGACACTATTAAAAAGGGCAGTAAGTCAGCCTAGAGATGAGATGCCCAGTGGAGGAGCAGATTCAGGGCTGCCTCCCATCTGGGGAACCACCAGTCCCACCTCATGCCCAGCCCCTGGCTGGCTTTGCCTAGGCTATTCTGTTACCTGAAACACAAGGCCCTTCCTCAGGAAGGACCTGGGGCCCCTGCAGCTGCTGATCTTGCCTTCTCAGCATCTCCGAGTGGATGTCCCCCAGACCTGTGGAGACAGGCCACATGATGCATCATTAAAATTTCCTCTGCCCGCCGAAACCGGTTTGGCTCAGTGGTAGAGCATCGGTCTGTAGACTGAAAGGTCCCAGGACCTATTCTGGTCAAGGGCATGTACATTGGTTGCTGGTACATCCCCGGTAGGGGGTGTGCAAGAGGCAGCTGGTTGATGTTTCTCTCATCGACGTTTCTAGCTCTCTATCCCTCTCTCCTCCTCTCTGTAAAAAAAAATCAATAAAATATATATTTTTAAAAATTTCCTCTGCCCCAGCAGCACCCTAAGGCCCACCAGGTGAGATTGCAGAACTAAAAGACTTTGGATCCTTGGGCCCCACCTGGCTGCCTTAAGAAATAAAGAAGTATCTATGAGGCACTTAGGGCACAGTCAGTGTGCCCTCAGCTCTTGCAGTCCTCTTCCCCTGGGACCCTCCCTAGGACTCTGGGGAGGAGAACAGACCAGGATGAAAAAGACAGTTTCCTCTGACCTCCTCCTTCCTTTTGCCTTCTCACCTTTTGGGACACCACTGTGTTCACCAACTGTGGCCATCACTGTACAAAGTGGGAACAGCAACCGAAGGTGAGACATGTGGCTGTGGTGGAGCCGGAGTCCTCCTGTGGGGGATGGGAGAGAAATCCCCCAGTAGCTGTGGGAGGGGAAGGGAAGTTCCTAAATATTCTCAGCTGTGGCTGTTGTTTATCTGAAGACTTCGCATAACTGGAGGCTGTCTGTGAATCAGAGGCCTTCTGTTCTCATGTGCAAAAAGTTACAACTTACATCTTCAAAGTGCCTCAATTGCACTGTTTTGTATGATATGTAGTTTATATTTTTATAAATAGCTTTGCACTGTGACTTCCTCATACTTGAGGTCCTTGAGCCACACTTTGAAAACAGAAATCACTGCTCTATGCTTCTCTTGTAACTGCCCCGGTGGAAAGTCCTGCTACAGCATTTCTTAACCTGCGTTTCCAAATGACCACAGAGCTCAGAACCGTGCAAGCCTCTGTGCTTGGGTCTATTCAAGAGCTTTCACTTTTCACACTTGAAAATGTGAGGGCTGTGAGGGTCTCCAAAAGAGGAATG